TGTATCTCTTCCAGCATTGATAAGAATGAAGACTTAAGGGGGAATAACTGTCATTCCTTTATTTCCTCCTGCAGCTCCTTTAACTTCTTACCAGCTGTCTCTTGGTGGTTTCTAATTCCACTTATTTGTTGTATTTTTCCCTGTGCAGGAGGGATGAGGAGGACCAAAAGAATTCCATCACCATCTTCTCATTTTGTATTGCACTTCAAAATCTTTGCACATCAACCCACTCTTCATCTTGCAGGTACCTTGCGATGCAATTATATTTGGGTTTTGTTTGTTTGTAAGTCTGGTGCATGACTTAATCTGCCAGTCACATCCCTCGTGTAAGAAAAGAAACATAAATGCAGAGACATGTGAGCAAAGTATTCTCTACAGCAATCTGAGCAGCTGTACGGAACAGGACCATGGTGATCTTGTGCTATACAGGTGCTCCCTGATACTTCTTCCCTTGGGAAGGAAAATTCAACTGTGTGCCCCCTTTGGTATAACTGAGCTCCCATACTGCATGACTTAAAGTTGCCAACTCAACCTCTACTACAGCTCTGTAGGAAGACAGCCCGTGTGTTGACAGCCACTGGCAGTTCCTTAGGATAGAAAATCGTATGGTAAACTGTAACTGAGTTAAGAGGTATCTATCTCCTCCCTCCTACTCTCTTCAGAAGTATACTTGTCATGCCCCAGATGAAGTGCCTCAACGTCCACTTACAAACCTAGGTAGAGTATTGGCTCCATTTAGTGAAACAAGTCTCTCCTGTCCACTTGGGCAGAAGTATTTTGTTTGTTGCCCCATTCCCTAGATGTGTACAGTCCTATTTTATCCACTGTTTGGATAAAGTATGAAATAGATCACTGTAAATTTAAGCAGTTTATAGCTCAGTATTATGTGTTTTTTTTCCTATTATTTTCAGGTGTGCCTTACTTTAAGAAATTAATCTCACCTGAAAAGATGATTTAATTCCCCTGAGCCTTGTTTTCAGAAGGATAAAGGGTGCAGCTTCTGAAGCACAGAGGAGTATCTTTTAGCAATGTCAGCAATCCAGTGAAGGACTCGCTGAAGGAAACTGCTTCAAATCCTGGATTCATGCAAATTAGGAAGTTTGAACAAGGAAAAGATGTATAGGTGACTCCAGGTCTTCAGCTTACCCCCAAATACCTTTTGTTGTAGGTTAGTTTACCCAGAGCTAAAACCTTGTTTTGCTTTCTAGTCTTGCTCAAACTAACATGGCAGCAGAAGGTGTGGTTAAGTGTGCACAGGTGGCTTTTTCCAAGTAAATTCAACCCATGGCTCTCTGGTACTGTTTCCTGACCAGGAGAAGTGTTCTCTTATTTAATTCCAAAAGTAAACTTGAATGTGATGAAACTTTTGTGGCGAAAGTGTACTCTGGGGCCTCAATGCAGTCCAGTTGCCAGTGCTTGTCAGTTTGCTGTTTGCTAGTGTCTGAGACATTACCTATTTCAGGAAGAGAAGTAGAATGCCAGATTCCTACACTGCATTATTAATGCTCCTTGATACAGCATGTCTCCGTGCTCCATAAGGAATTGAGCAGATTGTGTAGTACAGTGATGCAATGAAGACAGCTGACAGTCTGTACAGGAGACTTGGGGTCAGGACTGAACAAGGCTAAAGCTAGATGAAATTTATATTCTGATACCATTATTCTTGATTCTACTAGCCACTGACTAGACTTCTGACACCCGAACACATGCTGTCATTTGCCTTTGTACCTGAGGAGGAAAAAACTGAGGAAAACATTTTTGTTGTTTTTAAAAGAAAAAAAAAAAGCCATATGGAAGTTCTCTTGGCATCATTCAGGAAGATACTCTTTTTATGTTCTTACATTGCACCTGGGTCCAACAACGTGTGATGCTCCAAAATTCTCCAGGTACAAGTTGTTCGCACATTGGTACTAGAATCAATGTAGAAAAGCCATCTGCAAGTACCACTGCTTCTGTGAGGCTGTGACTTCAAAGGAGGTGCCTTTAGAAGTAATGTCGGCTTCAGCAGCTTCCCTATGCTTCTCCTTGGGACAGTCAAACCTTTGTGGCCATCGATTGCAGTCAGTTATCAGAGGCTAAAAATCTGATGCTTCAGGTTAATTTGTCTATGCAGTACTGCAAACTTATGTAGAACAATGCAAGCATCAGCAATGAAACAGGCTAGACGAAGACCTGTGTCTTCTGTGAAGAAAAGCCTCAAACCCACTCATTTTAAAATATCTTAAATTATTTTTTTTGTGCTATTGCAGGCCTGATTGCTTGCTATTAGAAGTCCATAATTGTTCTTTGTTCTGTTATGGTTTTGCAAAGACTAAACTACCTACTGTAACTTTCATACACATCAAAGGCTATTTACTGACCTAAACTGAAAAGAACTGGACAGTATTTTCTAAAAGAAACAGTATCCCTGTAGTCCAATATATAGACAAAAATGTGTATCAAGTTTATGAATGAAAGCATAATTTGTTAATAGTGTAAAGTTAGTTACTGCTTTTAATATAAAGGCAGGGCAATTGCACAGTGACACTGACAGTGTGTACGAATCGGTTTGAACTGAGGACTTTTTCCAGTCAAGGACAGGAATTTACATGGGCACTGACCGACTCACATCTTAATATGCAAATAGTAGGCAGCATAACAGTCTGACTGATAAGAACACAAAAATAAAGCATGTAGAATTATTTTCCATTTGAATTGCTTGCACCTTCAACTGATTTAATTTTTCTTAAATATCTCTAGCTCCAGTCCTCTGCTATGGTGAAATTCTCGGATGTTTAAGGAAAGCATAAATATTCCTCCTCCAGATGAAATAGGCACAATCTATGCCTAAATCCTTCTTACAGATGCCAACCAAGGGCTCTTTCTATAAATTTGCATCTAACTCCAAAAGGTTTAACATTACAGAACTGTAGATAAGGTATCTTTCCTTTTCCCTTTGAATAAAATCAAATTCAGCTAAGGAATTCTCACTTCACGGCAGCATTGTAGGGAAAATGACCCATTTGTAAGATAGTGCAAAGAAACATTTACTCAACGTTCTTTTAGAACTGTAACAATATAATTTAGTAGAATGACCTCTTCTAAGAGGAAACTTCTATATAGTTTACAATAAATTTGTTTTCAATTTTTCCTCTGAAGGAAATTGTTACACTTATATAACAATACAAAACATAAATATTTAAGGCTTTAATTTGCAAGATTCATTTAAGCAACCCTTACTTTGAAATGTCTTTGAAAAAGACAACTATATGAGAGAACCACATTTAAAATGTGTTAAGAAATATTAGTTTTATTTAACCAGTTTTCACAGCTGAATATTTATTCTATAAAAACTTTACAGATTGTACAGTTTATATATAGTTCAAACTACTAGAACAAAAAAGTAGGTCCCACAGATGCAAAAATACTGTACCAATCCAAGGTAAAGGCAGATTTACACACTGTACAGCTCTCCACTGGGAAGGGGAGGTGGGTCAGTTCCAAGTAAAAACTTTAAAACTGTACAAAAATAAGGTTTGATTTCTTTTTCATTCTTCATAATACATTCAATAAGATTGCAAGCACAGATACCCAAGTAATAATAGATATCTGCAGTCAGGAATCAATAACCACTCCTGAAAGGAATGCAAAATAGGTCTATTTACACAGGGCACTCTTTTACACCATACTGTATATAGTGTATATTTAAAATAATAAAAAAGCATAGACAAAGAACATTAAACATCTAATTAAGGTAGTTGTTTTTTTTTAAAGGAGTTTTTTTTTTTTTGCTTAATAGTGTGCCAAAAGAATTTTAACTTATTAAATAATATATTCTAAGTGAACCTAAAATTTATGAACATAAAATGCATTTTTGGTGTAATACATCAATTAAACCAGCAACTAGGAAAAAAAGAACCAAAACCCAAACTGTATATAAAGTAGTATTTCTCACCCAGCAACAGAAGCACTTATGTAGTTATTTAAAAAAAAAAAAAACAAACAAAAACAAAACAGAACCAAAAAAACAAAAAAAAAACCCAAACCCATAGCGACTATTTAAAAACCCACTAAAACTAACTTATAACTTAGGATATTCATACATAAGATATTCAGTGATTCACTAATACTGCAAAACAAGCTTTTTTGTTTGGTGGTTGGTGTTTGTTTTTTTTTTTTTTTTTTCCTTTCTTCCCCCTTCCATTTCCCTCCCACTTCCCCTCATTCCCCTTCCCCAAGAGACAGTGGTTTCTTCATGCTATCTGGGTAAGAATTAAATGTATTCCTGCCCCCTTCTTCCCACCCCTCGATACCTCCCCCCAAAAAACGACAGAGTGTTTTCTTAGCATTAATCCTGAGCACACTCTCTTTTGGGGGATATGTGTGATTTAATCTTAATAGGGTTTAATTCCCAAAAATTTTAGAATGTTCCATTACTTGAGGTATTTCAACCTTCTTCTGAGACAATGCCATGTATCTTAGCTGACTCCTTGGGCAGTGAAAGTAAGGGCTGGCTAATACCCGTTTCAATTCTGTATTCTAATGAAAAAGAAAAGCATTATTCCAGACTTCCCTGCCACACAGAAAGTAATGCAACACCATTCACTTTTTAATCCATTCTCTATTTGATACAGTACTAGCCAAAGATAACAAAAACTAGAGCCTTTAGAGAGATGTTTGGTAGTGCACTCTATCATTTTTTTTTAGCTTGTGTGTGTGTGTCTACATACACACTCTCACACACATATTACATTATATATATATATATAAAAGACATATATATGCACACACATACACTTGTGTGCGTGTACATATATCTATATGTAACAATCAGGGAGAAAGGAGTTTTGTTCAAATTTAAGTGATACAGTACTTTTAAACCCCTTGACAATAAAAGGGGAGGGGGTCCACTCCTGTTCCCAAGCTGAGCAAGGAGTGAGTTTATATAGGTTTTTAAAATGGGCATATTTTGTTTGCCCTGATGTCCAAGAAATACAATTCCAGTGTCAACGGGCGTGTCATCAGAACTCATCAATTTTCTTCTGCAGATACTTTAACATTGAGTCCATCCCTTGTGCTGAGCCCCAGATTTTCTTCAAAACTTCACACTCCTTTTCATTTGCTTGTTCCAAGTCCACCTTCATGATATTACGTACTAAAGCTTTGGATTCTTCAAGTACCTAGGCCAAAAAAAAGGGAGTTGTGTTAGTATTACATGAGAACTGAGTGACATGTGCACTTACAGATTTATATGGATGAGTCCTGAAGTTGATTATGAACTTGAGCTTATTGATTCACGGATATACTATGACATAAGAAACATTTCTGTCAACAGTTTCTCATAGAGTCTTTCTCATAGCGTCACACGGGATGTCCTTTATCCTGTATACAACAATGTGGAAACAATGAAATTCATAAAATCATAACTATAAATATATATGTGGTTTTATACTAACTAGAGAAAAGTCCAGCTCCATTTTGGTGAAGGCTAATCATAACACTATTATTATAACCAGGCAGACCTTGAATCTCTTGAACGTTTAAAATAGATTGAAAAACCTTGTTTGCTTTTCCATTAGAAAACTATTAATCTGTTTCAAAACGCAAAATCCCTAATGCACCCAACAGTTAATTTGTACTGCATCTCTTCTCATAAGAAAGCATAAAATATCAGTAGTTTAAGCTATCTTGTGCAACTGCCAGTAGTGCACACAACCATGAATGCACTAGGCATTGCTTGTAAAACTGTAAGTTCAACTTAATGCCAAAGACTGCATTTATTTCCTTGGTAATTTAACCTACAACTCAAGATAACTCAAGATTTCTGTGTTTCTGTGCAGTTCTTTGGGCAACTGTTTACACTGTTAATTAGAATATGTTGGACTTATGCAACTATGTTAAACCCAAAGTATATTGTGAAGAGTCCAATACTGTTTTAATGTTCTTAACCACAATGTACTATGGCATATTATACAGTCAGATGCAAACTTAAAAAAAATCCTAAAAATACCCAGAAACAAAAAGATACATGAGAATGTGTTAAAAGATGTTGCTATATGACAATGCAATCCTTGTTTCATGAAAATGGTCTTTTTTTAGAAGGACATAATGAGGTAGTCCAATAATACTTAGATTGATTCTTATTAGTCTAATTATAAAAATGTATGGTAAGAAAATAAAGGACACTTACAACTGAATTACATGTGACAAGTTCCTTAATTCGAACCATTACTTCTTGTGTGAATGTTCCCGGCCAAAACACTTGAGAGACGAGTCCTTTGGCACAAGCTTCCTGCGCAGTCAACTTCCTTCCACTGAACAACATTTCATTGGCCTGAAGGGATAAAAAGTTACTTCTGGTATGAAATGTAATGAGACAAAACTCATTAAAGGAAAAATGTTCAAAACAAATAAGGAAAATGCCTGCACTATTTGAAATAGTTTCATTATAGCTCTTCCAACTTTTAATTAACAAAGATAAAGACTCGCCTATAGATAGCTGGTTGGTGGTGTTGGCTGTACTATGTCAGTAGTTATAAAAATACGGAGGCCTATGATTAAAGGTTAAACATGGAAATGTCTTTTGCCATCTCCCATTCGTGAATGTTCATTAGCTCTAGCTTTCTTGCAGTATTGCTGACTTGATTAACTGTATATGTGGTACTGGCTTATAATGCCTGGCAGATCTGTAAAACAGCAGTGAATACATCAGCTTGCCCTTTATAAGAACGTTAGTTGCAGCAATGAAACCTTTGCTAAAAATCTACATTATCTGTAAATTGTAAAAAAACCCCCAGTTTTGGTAGTAGACCTCCTGGGAACTGCTAGTTTTGGTAGAAAAGAATAGTTAAATATTTAGCAACTAAAATGTGTTTTAGTACTGAAAATGTTTGAAACCTAAATATATGGTTTATTTTCAGTACTTCTCAAAACTCTTCAGAAGTATTTCAACATTTAAAATGGCTGGATTGTCTTGGAATTTGACCTCCAAAACCCACTGAAGTGAGCAGGATATATTCCAATTTGTGATCAAATTCATACAAAATAAATAGTCCCATTTTATTCAATAGTTCAATACTGAACAGATAAATCCTTTCAAAAGCTAATTTAGCAGTCTTATTAAAAAAAACCCAACAGTATTTAAAAGATCTTGTACATAGTTAAAAGGTACAGAATGTCTATATTCTATGCAATAAGGTGATCTCTAGTTCTATAAATCTTTTTGATTTATAATTATCATACACTTCACTATTTATCAGCTTCCCCATTCAAACTTCATCCTACAATCATTTGTGCTTACGCTTTAATTCTACCTTTAATGAACCTTCTTATATAAACTTTTTGTTTGCAGTGACATCTGCACAGAAACAGCCAGTGAGGATTAAAAAGTCAGAGTAATTGTCAACCTCAAAAAAAAAAAAAAAAAAAAATCAGTTTTACTGTTTCTTAATGACTAATTTACATTGAAAAATATGACAAACCCCTCACTGGGCTCTTGGAATATGGGAAATAGGGCTGTTATAAAACAACCAAACCTGATAGGTGTAGCATTTCTGAGGACAAAATCCGAGCGTTTTTTTAATTGTTTTCTAATACTGAACATTTTGGTAACTACTACAGCAACTTTCAGTTAAGGATCTCAAGTTATCTAATTACTGTAGGTAGCGTTTCTAGTATTGCCATTTTACACCTGAAGAAATCTGAAAACTCAGAGGTCTATTACTTGCCCCTTTGTAATGAAATACAAAGTTTGGGTTGCAACTCCCAGTCCATTAGGCATGTAAAAAAAAAAAAAAAAAAGAGATGTTTCCAGGATCTTTTACATAAAATTTATCATCAGCACATCTCATAAGTTTACATGTAAAGTTGTGATTGACATATATTAGTTTAAAAAACAACAAATCTCAAACTAAAGGTACAAATTATATACCCCTATAGTTCTACCTTCTGTGAAAGCAAAATAAATTATACAAGGTTCATTATCACAACTATACCTTCTAATTTTCCAGATGTGAATGATACTAACCTGAAACACTAGCCAAAAAATCAGTGATATACACAAGTCTGCCTAAAAACAGGAATCATTTTCCTAAGGAGAGATGGAAAAAAAAAAATTCTTCCAAAATAATTTTAAGAGATACTTAACATTTATATCAAAGATCAAAATGTGAAGTCAAGACAACTGGGAGTTGGGAAAGTCAGAAATTTAAGTCAGCTGGGCCGGTCTACATAGTCTTCACATGCCTCTTTGGTAACAAGGATAAAAAAGAATCCTAGAAAACTGTAATATTTTTTTTTCCTAAAACTCAGTAGCAGCTGCCGAGTTCTCCCAAACATGAGAAACCACGAATGATACTAGTGCAGTTATCTTATTTCTGCCAGCTGTAACACAGCATTAGCAGAAAACCTTACATGAAATGAGCTCTCCCATTAGTGTTCTCAGTCGACAGGTTTTGAAGGGGAATGGTTTGCTCTTGCATCTTCACTTTTGATCTATACACAATGTATGCCAGAGACCCACTACTAAACAAGTTTTAATCATATAATCATGCCTTGTATCTGCTGTGAAAGTTAACAGACTTAGTGGTTACTTTCCAAGAAATATAATCATAGAATCATTTGGGTTGGAAAACACCTTTAAAGGTCATCTAGTCCAACCCTCCTGCAATGAGCAGGGACACCTTCATAAAATGGTTTCCAAAGGACTTTAAAGACCATCTAGTTTCACCCCCTGTTGCCACAGGCAGGGACACCTCCCACCAGACCAGGTTACTTAAATCTCCATCCAACCTGACCTTGAACACCTCCAGGGATGGGGCATCCACAACTTCCCTGGGCAACCCGTCCCAGTGCCTCACCACCCTCACAGTAAAGAATGTCTTCCTAATATTTAATCTATATCTTCCCTCTTTCAGTTTATAACCATTACCCATTGATCCTGTCACTGCATTCCATGATAAAGAGTCTCTCCCCATCTTTCCTGTAGGCCCCTTTAAGTACTGGAAGGCCACTATAAGGTCTGCCTGGAGCCTTCTCTTCTCCAGGCTGAACAACCCCAACTCTCTCAGCCTGTCTTCATAGGAGAGGTGCTCCAGCCCTCTGATCATCTTTGTGGCCCTCCTCTGGACTCGTTCCAACAGGCCCACGTCCTTCTTATGTGGAGGGCTCCAGAGCTGGATGGAGTACTCCAGGTGGGGTCTCACCAGAGCAGAGTCAAGGGACAGAATCACGTCCCTCAACCTGTTGGCCACTATTCTTTTGATGCAGCCCAGTATATGGTATAATTGGATAAGAATACAGTATATGGATAAGACAGCAACAGAAATGAAGCTGATAAAATATTTCATTAATATAAGATTCTCATTAACAACCTTCATTTTCTACTCAGTCTGCCTTTCTCCTTCCACAGAGAAACATCACTGGGGCATCCTCTGGCCTCTTTTACAGGGAGTGCTTTGAGGCTCACAGGGGACCTCTCATGCACCCCCACAGGCACTAGACTTCCATAGTGCAAGTGAGCTGAGGTGCTCCATTGACCTGAAGGCAGCTGGTCTCTAATGCCTGAGACCCTGGCTGTGATGTGGACTACAGACGCTATGGAAACGTGTATCCCTCATGACTGACAGAAAAGCATAAGATACGGCCAAGAAACCAACAGGGAAACCCAATGTGTGAAGCTTGATCACGTGGCTCCTGTGCTTTATAGCCAGGACCAGAAAAACAGACCAAGATCTCCACAGCAGACACACAATAATGTGTCTCCCCAAACAGATGTCACCTTAATCTCTATTATACATTATTTCCAAAACCTAAAAACTAAGTTTGAGAATTCTTCTAAAATTTTTGGTATTCCCCATACAGTATCAGTTTTGAATCCTAAGGTCTGGGCTTCAGATTTCCTGAAATAATTAACTCTGTTGAACATGTTCTGTGAAAAAACCCTCCATGGCAGACTGCTCACCAGCAAAGACTGACTTGGTAGGGAAGATATTTCCAGCAATCTTGCGATTGAAGATTTTTACATAACTGCTGATGATAAAAAGAATGCACTGAATCTGATTTACAAGAGTTAAGGGTGGGAGTAGTACTTCCGAATCAATACTTTTGTAACAAATTTTACGATGCATACAGAGGCCTTATTTCTTTCTTTTGTATGATATTTTAATTCCTCCCCCCCCAAATGTTTCTCATCGCACTCACACCATCTCTTCTTTCTGCTGACTTCTGTCTCCCTTTTGTAGATAGAAAGCATGTTACTTCATGAAAATTTTCACTATAGATTCTGACTATATTTCCTGGAATCTGCTGTTTAAAGTCCAACTTTGTCCCGTACAGCATTGACATTGTTGTACTGCAGGGGGTCAAGGATAGTATGAAAACAGTGGACTTTAATTTTTTTTATTTCCTTTCTGCACTGAATAGTATGGAATTATTATCACTGGAAGCTTTCAATTTAAGTCTTCATATTGAAAAATGAGAGCATTCACAAACACACATGGAAGAGTATACTAGGGAAGAGCTTCTTGTATTTTTTGTACAACTTCTAAAGAAATGAGAAGTAACAACCACAAGTCTCTAAAGGACGGGAATGGATGGAATGGATGGATGAATGGATGGATGGCCAAATAAAAAGGGAAAGGAACAATCAGTAGTTTGAAACATGCTAAGATATTAAAGATACTCTTATAACTGTTAATCTATTTCAGTTACCTTTTCTGTTCTCTTCTAACAACTAAATCCAGACATCACACAGTTAGTCATTAGATTTGTTCAAACTGATGCTTTTAATATATTGAAATCTGTATTTTTATAGCAATAGATACCTACAGGGAAAAAGTGGCTTTTATAATAAACAGTAATTTAGGAAAAACAAGTGTAGCTACAAGCACTTGTTTCATACTGTTACTATTCAAATTGGAACGGGACATAGGTCTAACAGTTTTCAATATAAATATTTTTCACATATAAAAAATAGTAGGCAACATGAAAATAATGTAGGTAAAAGATTTTTAAATAGGTTTTTATTACATTTGATTCTTCCACCTAATTGGAAAGCAAGAAAAGGGATGCTCAGTAATATGTGGCTTATGTTTTCCGCAACAATGCAAAGTGTTATCTTTTTTTTTTTTTTTTTCAGTCCAGCAGTACTGTAAATCAAGTGCAAGACTGAAAAAAAAAAGCTTCACAGAAGTGATTTGGACTGATTATTTCTTGCCTAACACACTAGCGTTAAACATCAGCAGAGATCTACAGAGTGAGGAAGTTCAACATGACTTCTTGAGAACAACAAGTGCATGAAAGCTGAATTACTTATTTTGCATACTAGCATGAGGCTGCTAATAGCTGGTGACACAGTGCGCTGCTATGTAACGACACTGAGTGCAGAGCAGCGCATTCTGTGCTGCACTGTAATGCTGTGCTGAATGCAAGACACTAGTGGCTTTTTCTTTTGTGGGGCTAAGACGGAGGGTATGCAGGACATAACCCTTCTGCCACCGTCAGGGTTAAGGGTGCCCATGACATGGGATTAGGTCCCGTGCCTGCTTTCTGTTCTGTGCGCGCAGGTGAAGACTAGGTTGTAACATCATGGAGCAGAGAAGCTATAAATACTGGCTTCTCGTGAAAGGTTTTCATGAGAGAAAGAAGAAAATAAAGAACAGACAACACAGCAAAGGTAAAAAGTCTTGAAATCACTCTGGATAAATTATCACAACTGCATTGTGAAGCTGTCAGCCCCTACCCTGCAAGCTACTTACAGAAGCCAGGCCCATTATCCGGGGGAATGTAAGGGATGAACATCCATCCGGACTTTGTCCAAAAGTAGTGTATGGTGTCTGAAACCATGCCTTCTCATTAGCCCAAACCACATCACACAGAGGCAATATAGATGCTCCAAGTCCAATGGCTGGGCCATTTACTGCTACAATGATAGGCTTCTTAAACTGAATAAAAGTATTCACAAAATTCCTGAAGAGAAACAGAAACATGCATTCACTACATATATAGAAAGAGTAAAATATACCAGCCCTTGAAAACTCAGTAATAATTCGTCTCCACAGTAACATCGCTTTCAAAACCAACCTGATAACCTTCCACGACGAGGTGGTTAGCTTGGTGGATGAGGGGACAGCAGTCTACCTAGACTTCAGAGCAAGGCGCTCAGCACTATCTCCTGTAAGACTTTCACAGACAAGCTGTTGATGTATGAGCTGGATGAGCAGACAGTGAGGTGGACTGAAAAATGTCTGAATGGCTTCCCAGAGCGTGGTGATCAGTGGCACAAAGTCTAGTTGGAGGCCCGTAATTAGTGTTGCACCCCAGGGGGTCAGTGTTGGGTCCAGTACTGTTCATCCGCTTCATTTGTGATCTGGATGGTGGGGCAGAGTATATCCTCAGCAAGTTTGCTGATGATCCAAAACTGGGATGATACACTGGAGGGTCATGCTGCCATCCAGAGGGACCTCGACAGGTTGGACCTCATGAAGTTCAACAAGGGGAAGTGTAAAGTCTTCCACCTGGGGAAGAACAACCCCAGGCACCAATATATGCTGGAAGCCAAACAGCTGGAAAGCAGCTTGGCAGAAAAGGACCTAGGGGTCCTGGTGGACACCAAGTTGAACTTGAGCCAGCAGTGTCCCTTTGTGGCAAAGATGGCTAATGGTAATCTGGGCTGCATTAAGAGTGTTGCCAGCAGGTTGTGGGAGATGATACTTCTCCTCTGCTAAGCATTGGTGTCCAGTTATGGGGTCCCCAGTGAAAGAGAGATGTAGAGCTACTGAACATGGTCTAGCAAAGGGCCACCAGGATGACTAAGAGACTGGAGCATCTCTCATGTGAGCAAAGACTGAGAGAGCTGGGACTGTTCAGCCTGGAAAAGAGAAAGCTTAGGGGGATCTCATCAATGTGTACATATACCTGAAGGAAGGATGCAAAGAGGATGGAGCCAGGCTTTTTTCAGTGGTGCCCAGTGACAGGACCAGAGGTAGCGGGCAAAAACTGAAATTCAGGAAGTTCCATCTGAACATCAGGAAACACTTTCTTACTGTCAGGGTGACTGAACAGGTGGCCAGCAAGGTTGTGGACTCTCCATCCTTGGAGATAGTCAAAAACCCTGTCTGGCCATGGTTCTGGGCAACCTGCTCTAGGTGACCCTGCTTGAGCAGGGGCAGGTTGAACAAGATGACCTCCAAAGGTCCTTTACAACCTCAGCCATTCTTTCATTCTGTGAAAGCCTAGCATTTCTCCCAGCCCAAAGCAGCACAGTAATTGGGCAGCTCTGGATTTAATGCCTCTCCTACAAGAACCAGCTGATACGGCGCTTCTGGTATATTCACAGGCCTCACAGCCCTCTCCGAGATGAGGCTGTAGTCATACCTCACCTCTGGGCACCAAAACCATGGTTACAGCCCTGCTTGGTCTTCACTGTGTTTATGTATGACATTGGTATGAGGTAGCTATCTATATTTTTAAGTGAAGGTATAAGGTGTATAGGTGTAAATGAATATGGGCAAAGCATTAATGAGTTTCCTTAAAGAGTATTTCTGGACTTCTGGGAGACAGCTTTTCTAAATAAATCAATCTGCCTTTTAAAATTATGAACAGGCCATACACAGTAGAGCTCCATTATCACATACCACACACCTTTACACTTCCCCTCCTCATGTCCCTCTTTTGGTTGGTCATAATGCTATGGGTGCTATGCTACTAAGTTACAAATGCATATTCTTACCCTCGTTATCAACACAAAATGACAATTCATTCTAGTACCCACAAAGCATGGATACTTACATGCTTCTCTGTTCTCTAACAGTAAATGCCTTCCAAGGTCTTAGGAAAAAGTAAGCGTGTGTGTAAGTATGCACACATTAGACCAAGTAGAGACTTCTGAAACCCCAAAGTCAAGTTGCAGGTATTTCTCAGTTAATAGCTACCACATATAATGAAGGAGTTGTCCATATTTACTTCAAGTACATGACAAATTCTAATTAGAATACAGTGTACAACATACAGTTGTCAGCACCTGCAAAGCATTCCTTGGCTCTGAATGACAGAAGATTTCTCATTTCAGTATTAGATGCTGAAATATGGGATTATTATCAAAATTTCAGAAAAGGGGATATAGTGGTAATTTTAAAGTTTGCTCTTTATCTGTGTTACCTGTTTTTGTATTTCTGCAAAACAGGACATTTTTACTGTATTGCATCCATCCCTAAAGGTTATCATGCTTCTTAACTCATTCTAGTGAACTGTAATAGATGAATGCAAAAAAAATTCTGGAAGCATCTTATGCAAGTCATCATAAAAACAACCCGTCCAGAGATGATAATTTTAATGATGTCTGAATTTTAATGATGTCTGAATATTCCAGAAGACCAAGTCTAGCATATATATGAAAAATACCAGTATTATGTTTGAAGGGGGAGAGTTCATAGGTGTTTTAAGTTACCTTTATCCATTTTATTAACCATAAATAAGAGGTGGCAAATCAGGCTTCTGGAAGGGCCTGAATTAAACTAGTCACAGAAGCTCAGTGTCCAGAGCCTCTGTTCCCTGGCTGCATCTAAAGTCACTGCATGACCAACTTCTACATGGAATGACTGAAAAAAAAAAATATGATTGAATGATTGAAAAAAATAACTATTATCACCTCTATCAGCCAACTGTGCCTCGAATGAAACTGGCTTTACATGTTACAAGGCCTTTTTTAGGGACATGAATATTGATAACGACAACAAAACATAGGTCTCTGAAGGAATATAGATACTCTGGAAGCATACAAGAGCCCAGGCCCTCAAAACCGGTGTTCAAATGATACTTGTTTTTACTGTTAAAACATGTCTCCAAGATCCATACTTTTGTCCATATATATTCCTCTAGTTTGTAGTAATTCAGCTAATTTTGTTTAAACGTTAGGTTTTGTACCTAGTGTTGGGATTATGTTCACTAGTACTAACTACTCCTCTAAAATACCCATCATTTCGCTGCTCTGAATGTACTATATTAAGGTACTCATTCAATGTCCATCTTGTATTTGTGTGTTGAATTTGTTTTCCTGAAACTCTATGGCCGTTTAAGTCTTTTTAAAATTGGTTTCAACTGGAGGAGTATTACCATAATACCAGTTTTCACAGTTAAATTTTAGCAGTAAAAATAGTGATGCATGAAATGACAACCCAAATAGAAAGGGACAGGGTGTATAAAGAAGTGCTGCACACTATATCACATAACAGGTGAATGTCTGAGATCTTGTCGAATTGGAGGCTTTTGATATAAAAAGATAAACCAAGCCAGACTACATGATGAATACCCGCTCAGATGACTGAAGATAATCTTACATACCTAATAGCTTCTGCCATTTTAGTGCTTTCCTTTTTTCTATCATCTGTTAAACGTCGTATAAAATAAATAAAATCAAGACCACAGCAAAAAGTGCTACCGACTGCACTGAACAGCACAAGTTTACTGTCATCTGCAGCTGCTGTGTTCAGTGCACTTTGGACTTCCTTCATTACCTGAAAGAAAAAAAATTAAAAATAATTCATTAGAATCTTTTGATTACATCATTAAGAAGTAGCATACTGTTTTCCTCCCCTCTTCCCCCATGAGATCTCAATCTTTGGCATCTTTAATTTTTCCTTAGGATCCACTCAACCATCATATTAGAAAAATTCACTTTTTTCATTATCCCAAAATAAGAAAGTATTAGAAGCTCTGCATTTGAAAAAAAGTAATTAGACTAAGATAATGAAATCATTAGGAAAAGATCTATTAGATGTTATCTGTAACTAAAGCACTCATTCAGCGTTTCTGTAATTTGGACAGCAGATGGCACATGCAACTAGTTCAGAAAAAAAGAACCTTAATTCAGGCTAAAGCTTGTAAGTTGAACTTCATAAATTGCCACGTCTTATAAGAGACAGTACATCTAAAAGTTCAGATAACATAGTTAAAACTCAACTGAACTACACTTAAAGTCCGTTGTATGTGTAACATCTTGCAAGCAACAATCTGAGACTTAGAATTCTGTCAGCACCCTCCCTCTCCGCCAAAGCAGAATTATTCTGACCTCTGGATTTAGTGAATTATTTTCAGATGATTTTGTTGATAGCAAAATGTGTGTGAATCCATCTTGTTTCCTGACAACAATGTCTCTGTACCGGTACGCACTCTCCGTTTGTCTCACACTGAAACGTAGCCTTTTATCAAAAGGTTGATCTCTCCTGTCATCAATAAACCTTCGTTTACTGGCTGTCACTCCTGTTACAGATGTCTGTATGTTGGTTGTACCATTGGCTGCTAATGCTTCCATAAAGGTGGATGTACCTGGAAATAGTTTAAATAACATTCTAATTAATTACATTTTATTAGCTCAGCAGTTTCAAAATACGAGTTAGCATGAAAACACGCAAGCCATATTAAGAACACACAGTAAATATGAAACTCAGTTCCCTGGAAGTTACTGAAATGTTATACTGTGCACAGAGCAAAATTAAAGTGACAAAGGGATCCAACAAATTCATTTTACATTTGTGAGAAAATACATTTGGAACAAGCCAAACAGGCCAATCATCATATACTTATTTTTAAGAGGGAAGGGAAATGTTTATTTAATGTTCCTAATACCAATGCACTTCAGTAGGTTAACGCTCTGCTTTCTCCCTTTCCAACATCTTTAAGGTGTCTAATAGCATCAAGATTGCAAAGAGAAAGCAGAAGCCTATTGTTTCAAATGCCACCAGAAGTTAATACACGGAAGAAAACGACACCTACAGTCAGCCAGATAAAGAACTTGACTGACAAGATCATATAAAGCATAATAGTCTTTAAAGGAAAATGGAAATGAAGAAATACAGACTATGCTTCTGTGAGAGGGAAACAAGACGCATGCAGTGACTGATATTTTAATGGATTCATAGACAATGAGATATTTCTCAAGTCTAAACAATTTTTGCTATTACAATTGGCAAATAGAGCATTGTGTCTTTCTGGGCTTGTTCCCAGTCACTTAAACAGACAGAATTTGAAGGCACACAAGTAAACAGGTCATTCCTCATGACGCAAGAGGGACAGGTTTTTCTATACTCCACATTAGAAACTAATACCAAATAATTAGCATTCATAAGAAAAAATAAGAACATCTTGGATCTATAATCCATCTGCATGTTAAAGTCTCCATGTAAAATCTCCATAAAATTTGTCAGATTAAAGTAATGGAGTATGTGTGGGAGGGAGGGACAGTAGGGTTAAAATGTTGGAAAAACGTGATACAGGCCAAGACAGGAAAGTTTTAAAAGTCTTTTCCTGAAAACTGAGGTCTGAGACTTTGTTAAAAATCTACTGGAAATCCACAGTTCTTATCTCATAAACAGGTACTTCAGAACATCATGCATATGATGTCTTAAAAAGTAAAGTTAAACCACGTATAAGTAACTTGTTAATTAAATGCCATTGAGGGATTTTGCTTAATTTGTCATTATCTTTATGAAGAAGCTATATTTTTAAAATTCTAATAATATGCAATTCTATGTGTGGGGTGGTGGTTTTTTTGTTTAGGGGTTTTTGGTTGGTTGGTTGGGTTTTTTTTTTTTAAAAACACAGGATAATTCAAACACTTGTGGGTCCAGTGAAGTCATTAAACAGGCTCACTGAAATAACTGGAATATCATATATCTCCACATTTTAATTGTATTCAAATGTTGCTTAATTTGACCTGCATGAAGCATGAGAGATATTAAGAGAAAGACTAATGAAATTAAAATGTAGAACATTATACATTTTTCTATTTGTATTTCAGAAACTTCCTTCAGATATAGGTGAAGTCTTTATATCAAATATTTTAAAATAAATCTTTGATTATAAATCTATTATGATTAATTAGGCAAGTTGTCTGTCGAAGGAGCAATAAAATCACAAGGTTTTATTTTATTTTTTTAAGTCTTTCTTGTTGTATTAGTGATTTAATCCTCCTACCATATCACCTTTTGTGTTGTTAAAAACTAAAGATTTTTCAGTTGTTTAAAGTGAAGAGTAAGAAATTGAATTCAGTTTGTGATCAGTCTCAAAGACAACAGAGGTGAACAAAATGAAACGGAAAATTTAATAGTTTATATTGTCACGGAAGTTTCACATTTATTCCTGAATTTTTCACAGCTGATCAAATTCCTTTTTTCCTTTCAGCAGAATAAATAAAAATTTGATTCATACCAAACATGAAATCAATGAGGGATGCTTTGAAAACTTTTCCCTTCTAAACCACACCATGTTGATTACATTCCTTTGAAAGAATTCCCTTTAAAGGGAATTTGCAGGAACACCACTGTTGCTCCATATTTCATTAGGAACACAGACAAAATGGTATCACTTGCTGCAATGGATGAAATGGTATCACTGGCCGCAATGGTTTGTTTTTCCATAGGAAAGGTAAATTAAAACAACTGAAATCACCTCTGATTTCTAAACTGTGATATAAGATTTTATGGCTTCTGTCCTAGCCATAGTGAAAAAAAGTGGAGAATGAGGAGAGCACAATAGATAAGCCTAAGCCAAATTAAAAAAAAAAAAAAAAGTCAGTAAACTTGTGTTAGAGCTTTGAGTATATCTTTTCCCACGACTCATACTTCCATAGACGTACTCAAATACCAGAAAATTACTTTTGAGATGTAAGAGCAAATGATTATACACTTAGAGACACGAAACTTTTGGCAAGAGAGACCAAGATGTAAACACCACACACCACTTTTCATGCTTATTGAATTGGCAAGAAACCTTCCGAGTTTTTATATAAACTCTGTCTGCACTTGTCAATAGCTACAGTTTCAAACCACAAACAAGGGACAGCTGCAGTTCAGCAGAAGTAGTCTCCTACATCCAATCTTGTAAACACACTTTTAGGATACTTAGATGGGAATCAAAAACCTGTCTGCTTTAGAAACTGTACCTCTGCACAGGGACATTTGGCCAGCTGGTCCGGATTAGAAAGTGGCACCAACAGAGTTAAAATACGTTTGTTACTGTTTGTTGTAAGTTTGTGACCTTCTACACCTTAAATCTAGGGGGCTCTTTCTTTTGACATTCGGTCCTCAAAAGTGAAGATACAACTCAGAGACATAAAAGAGTACCTTCATGCTATATATAAATAGGCAAAGGTTGCCTCACTGGATAGTCTTGGACATGTGCTGCAGCAAATGAGAATGAAAGTAAAAGAAAAAGTGCCAGAGAGAATTAACTGTATTGCCATAGATTTCTCACATGAAAATTTTGCATTGAGGTTATTATTTTCTGGTTACTTACAACTATATTTTACAATTTTAAAATATAAAATTCATAACAAACCAAAAGCAGTTCTGCTTTTTAATACGTTAATGGCAATAGCACATCAAAGACAAAAACACCACCGCAGCCCTCTCCTTGCAAACTGAGCCTTCCAAAAACAATAAGGGCTTGGAAAAAAGACAATTTACCCTGGATATTGTCAACTAATGCAGAACTATGTTTTTTTAGGAGGTAAACAAACAGCTCTTATAGTTACAAAAAATGCTTCCAACTGCAAACTGTTAATTCACGTGATCTTCTCAAACATGAAGACATACTTCTACTGCGCAAAGCTTCACCATATAGATGCAAAACCAAATTAAGAGGACTACTTGGTTTTGCAGCTGCTGATCAAAACTTGATAACAGTCACCATTTTCATGCAGCTGCTCTTAGAGAACAAAAAAAAAAAAGCTATGGGCAACAGATAAGAAAGGAACTGGTCTTATTCAAGAGGAAGAATGACACAAAATACAGAAATTGGAAGAGGGGCAGAACAGCAAAGGTATCATCACCCCCATTCCACTGGCAGAAGACAGAAAAAAGCCACCTCTCCAAAAGACGAGGGGGATAAGTTAAAATGCACGATGCCAGAAATCTAGATAAACAGAGTTACAAACAAAACAAGTAACACACAACTTCACAACAATCCAAAAGTTACAATCCCAACCTCCTATCTCTAAACTATCCGTGCCTCACTGTTACCGTCTCCCAAATTCTGGAGAAGTTCAGTTTCGCTCACATAGCAAGCCTCGAGTACAAACACTCCCCCTCCCTCCAACAATACTGGGGACAGATCCAAACGGGTGCTCTAATGACAGCCAAGCCTCTTGCGTACGCATCTTAGCCAGTACGCATGTACTTGTGGTGGTATTAATTCAAAGGTTTGCCTGACAGAGTATGCCATTTCTGAAAGGCTTAGCACAGATGTCCAAGGAATGAGCGTAAGAAAATGTGAGGTGTGAACAATGCTGTCTGAGTATCTCCAGCCAACTCCAGCCACCAGAAATTTAGCAATTCCTAAAATTTGCACGCTCAGAACCATAGGGTGCACCCAAACCATGTAGCTAAATCCTTATCCCCCACGGGACTGTCCAATTTACTTTCAAAACCACTATGGCTTTGTCTTCCACAGTATCTTTTTGCAGTAAGTTGTAGAACTTTCATCTTTACTATCTTCATCTCTTTCATCACATCCCTTCTCCAGATACATTAGTCTCAATCTTATTTACCTTTTCTTCTTCCAGAAGCCAGCCCAAGCCTGTCATTCTTCTCCATGCCTCTTCCTCTTCTACTAAATCTTGGAACAGGTTCCAAAGTGGCACATAGTATTCAAGATGGGGATTTATAACATGGCATATTCAAACCTTCTCCTCTACTCCTTTTCGATAATAATTTCTAATTTTTTTTTTTTTGAAACAAGTGCTGAGCAGGCATTTGCAGCAAACTACCCAAAACAAACCCAATGCCCTTTTCCTGAGCAGTAACAGGTAGTCAAGAACCAGTCGTTGTCCAGGCATGGTTTTATGTTTTGCTATAGGCATAGCTTTGCATAGAAGTCTGTTTTGTCCCCTCATTACTTGGCATTCATCTGCACTGAAAGCAATCTCTCATTTTAATTATGAAATCACTCAGTATTTTCAGGTATGTCTGCAGTGCTCACAAGGAGCTTTGGGGACCCTCCCTTGCACCTTTCCTGTACCCTCACGCACCAACCATGTCCTCTCCTACACTTGGTGACAAAATGGTTAATAAGAAGCATCCCACTTGAATAAGCAAATGAAAAAACACCAGCAACAACAATTTCTTAAAGTGTTAACTGCAAAAATAACACCGTAATTGTAACTGATTACAACTCAAGTACTGGAGAGGGAAAAATATGATCTGCAAAACTGATTAGGAAAAAATTAAAATAAAAAAATAAAAAGAAGAAATCAGTACCAGAAGTAAGCTGTATTTTTTCCAAAGTCCTTTCTATACTTTCACTGCTTT